CTCGAAACCCTAACTTTACTCTAAACTCAACTCTCACAAAATCGATACCGAGAGTTCTCAACCCCCCCTCCCCCTTCTATTTACATCCAAGGTAGGCAGCCTAAAGTCACAAATCCAACTTGTCCAAGAAATCTTAATTCACTAGGAAACCTTTTCATACAAGATACAAACTTATCCTAACACGATTCAAACTCCAATCTTCCCAAATTTAAACTCCTTTCAAATTTGACTCCTTATCTCATACACACACAATTTCCCTATCGTGTGTGAGATGGAATCTTCACCAACCACGTGCATTGCTCTTTAGCCTAATCATACCACATGATATCATGATCATTGGGACATCATCTTCTCCTAGATTGACTCCTAATCCATCACCGGCCATACTTTCTCGAGACATCAAGACACACCTACACATGAATCAAACAAGAAACAATATCTGAGCACAAATTCTTTCCAAATTTAACTCAACATTAGCACACAGCAATATTACATATGTGTAGAAATCATCTAAAAGTTATAATTACAAGATAATCACGGGTATTCAAATAAATAACCCAAAACCTACTCTAATCTGGAGCTAGCCGGTCAAACCGTCGAGCTAGCCAATCTGACAACACACAACACACTAGCCTGACCAACCTACCCTGCCTGGTTTGTATGGCTCCACACAGATAGCACTACTTCGCCAATAATATCCAAATATCAAAATTAATTATCTATAATACCAATTGTTCATCACAAATTAATAATCAAAACAAACTTTGATTTCACAGGGTGATCCTGAATGCTCTCGATGTTCTCCATAATCTAGGGTCTCTAATCAGGGAGGGACCCAAAATTGGGCTAAGGCCCAAGCAAGCCCATGGAGAATACGGCCTTGTATGATGATTACGTGGTGGTAAAATGTCTATCCCATGGTAGTCCTAGGCCTCACGCCATGGTCCTGGTGGCCCAAAGCTTAGGTCCACTCCTGTCTCCTACCCATGGTACCCAACAATAAAATCTTTCAGGAAATTATAGTTGCAGTTGTTTTCTTCAGACTAATCGCAAGTGTGATTTTCTTTTTTATGTATAAAATGCAATTATATATTCGTCCGTAATGGACTTAATAGCTTCAACAACGCTTGCATATATCCATGCTCTAGTAGACATGTTGCTTTGCTCGGGAAGAGAGATAAGAAGGAAAGTAAAGCTCTCTCACACAAGAGAAAGTGTGCAACCAAAATATATGTGCTAGTTTTCACGTGTCTCCGTATGTGAAAGTAGAGCTTTAAGTAGAGAGCTCACAGAGAGCAGAAAATCACATTTCATGAGCACAAACCAGTTTGAGATGGATTCAGCGCATGCTCATGAGTGACATGAGTAATTGGTAGGGACAAACATCGGATTAGGAGGCATTGAGAATAAAACGAGTGCGGTGAAGAAATTTGTAACTTTTGAATTCAAACAGAAGAGTTCATTATCATATATACTGATGATTCATTAGCTCCCAGCGTACTTTATAGTTTAACATCATCATGTGTTCTAACTTCTAATCAAGACTTGGCGATGGCGATGACGAACTCTCCTTTGGTGAAGCTGCTCTATAGTCTAATCATATCACTGCAAAATAGAACAAGATGAGCAAGATGATCGACCAACCCATGGAGGAAAAACGAAGAAAAAAAAAGTGGTAAACAAGATGAGCAAAATAGAACAGTAAATTGGGAGTAACAGACCCAATCTCCATCTAGAAATAGACAAAACATCATTGATTGTTGGTATTCACCTCAATGAAATGCAAGTAATTAAATTTCCTTACAGAAGAATTATGGAGTGCAGGCAGTTGTTTCGAAAGTAACATATATCTGTCCCGCTTAGTGTTTGCATGTAAGATTAAATAATTACAACCAATAAGTCAAGTTGGAGAACAATATATGTAATATGTCCTATAGCGCTCTTCAAACATGCAGGCATTGCTTAAAGTTTATGACTGAAAGCATTGCTTAAAGTTGACAGAGAAGTCTGGTCATTGAACAAATGTATCTTCAAATTTATAAGGTAATTTTCATGTTATCACAAATGCCCACCTGTGAAATGAAAGGGGGTTGTCTGAAAATCGTTTTTTTTATAGTGCTCACACCGCACGGTTGGCCAGCAACTTGCACTAGCACAAGGAGATGGAGGATAGGGTGGAGGGGGCGGCAACGGCTAGGGTTTTCACCCCGAGCCACCTACGCAGGAGAGGGGTCACGGGTTGGATCAATTGTTAAAATCCTCAAATTACTTGACAATTATGATACTGATGTTCCAGCTGCAATGTTAGCTGGATACATTTTTTTTTTCTATTTTTAATATTTTTGTTTTTTGAAATTTTGGTGCTCTCAGTAAGAGTGTTGTATCATTATTCTCTCAACAAAATGCATTCTGTCTCAAAAAACAAAAAGAACTACATGCATTCAAGCTCAATAGTACAGCTTTTTCTGGCAGTAAATAAGGCAAGATTAACAGGATATATGATAGTTTGCTCATATAAAACGAGACCCAGATTGAGGCAGAGGTTGGAACAGAGAGATAAAAAGGCTGGCCTCTCCCACAGGCCAAAGGAAAGTATTTACAGCTCTACATGTAAATCACCAAAGTTAAGAGGACAAGGAAATACTCTTCCATAAGATTTTTATCAGTGAGAAAGATGCTTAATATGGGATTGAGAGGTTTCAGGAAAAAAACTAGGGCATGGAGCTAACTATACCGTTGAGATTTGCTGGTTAACAGTTGTCCTCAGTGAGGCACAGATGTCCTCTTTTGCCTTGAGCCGAAGTCCCTTGCTGCCGGAGTAGGGAGTTCCTCAAAAAATTGCCGGGTTTTTGTTGATTCTTGAAACATGTCATGATAGATTGTTCCCATAATCCGTACTGAAAGCAAACCAATTGCTCTCTTCTGTGTTAAAACTGAGACAATACTATTTTCTAATTTGATATATATTTTTTACATTTCTGATGGCGGATAGGTTGTTGGGGCTAGTTGAGACACCAGCCCCACTTGGAAGACTTGCCTCTAATTAGACAATATCAATTTTTTTAATGAAAAGATCAAGACCATATCTTTTTATATAAAAGGTCCAATTTTTTCATAGATTTATTTTTTGGATATGTTAATTTAGCTGTGAATTAATGTAGAGAAAGCTTTCTTTTTCTTTTGATGATATGAGCATTTGGATTTCTTTTTTTTCTTTTGATGATATGAGCATTTGGATTTCATCGGGAAATATTCAGTTAATATTGCTCCACTCATGCTATGTTTTTACGCTAGCCTCCCTCAATTTGCATCATGAATTCGCCATTGTGCATTCCATTGTTTTTCATACTATGTTATATTTCATTATCTTAAAAAAATACTATGCATTTTCTGTTTTCTGTCCATATAAAATTGAGTGGTCAGTTATATGAAATTTGAATGAGAGAAACATTTCACGAATTAATCAAATGTCAGGAAAGTTGAGGGGCTTGTCTGCAAAGTTTCAGGTAAGGTCAACTTTTCGCATCCCCGACCGTTGGGAGTGGGCCCGAGTGCGTCTCTCTCAGCTTTCCACAAACGGATCCGGGTCTCTGACCCGGTTGTACCCGATATCAAATTCCTTTCGAAATTATGGACGCAATTGTTCCTTGAGACCAATCGCAAATTTGAAAATATTTATATGTATGCAGTGCAAGCATAGATTCATCCGTGATAGATGTGATGGAATATCTGAGCCGTTCAAGTAACAAACTATTAATTGTGTTTAGTGTAGAGGATTAATTAGCGTGTGACCTGCATGCACGATCGTGATTTGCCACCAAATTTCACCAAATAATTAAAGTGCCCAATTTTTTTTTCAATATTTTGTCTTCACATGCATAATAAAAATTGACAGTTGAAATTTCCCGACACACCTTTCATTTGACTTGCTCCAAAATATCGGTGATTAAATTATCTCCTAATTTCGTGGACTTGGTCCCAAACAAAGACGAACGGAATTCTTGTTCTCCTCAGTCACTGCGACCAAAAACTTGTCAAAATTGACTCAACACTCCAGGTCCAATATATAGTATGGCAATAATCATTTACCCTAAATATTGGGAAGCACCTAATAAATAAATAAATAAATAATTGAAACCATTTGAGTAGATGTCACGACAATAAAGAATAAGGTGCACCATAAAAGGAGGGGAAAATTTGTAATTTAATTACACTATTTGTATGTTGTTAGCCACTGTTTTGATGTTGATATGTTGCCTTCTTCTGCCTTATCAAGTCACATTATATTGTGCACGCAGTAGCAACTTATGAAGTTTACATTCATGTGTACTTTTGTCACTACATATAATATGACACCTATTAAATTCCATAGAAACATTTTCCTCATTAAAATAATCAAATTTTGTCATAATACCACACAAGCTTTGAACTTAATTATCGCAATTGAACGCATCAAAAACTTGAAATTTTTTCACAAATTTCTCCTTCACACAAACAAAACTTATTGACCAAGTGCAGCAAAACTTGATCCATGAATAACAAAATGATTAGAAGTGGAAATCCTTCATGAAAAAAAAACAGATATTCAAAATTATTTACAAAAAACTTTTATATATAGAGAGAGAGTTTTAAAATCAATTCTTAAAAAATCAGAATCAACCTAAAGTAAGCTTCAAAATTTAAATTTTTGTTGCTACTAATAAACCAAAAGATAAATTATGCGACACGCTAATAATACAGATCTATGCACTTTAACCATTGCGATCAAACGTGCCAAAGTTTCTCAAAATGTATCCTCAATATTAAAAGGACCCATATTATTGACCCAAGAGGTGCAAAACTTGGTCCATAACCAATTCTCACAAGTGGAAATCCTTCAAAAACAAAACAAGAGGTACCATAACAACAAACTAATCATAATAATCCAAACACATGCAGTTTACCCCCCGAAAAAACTATTATTCACAACTCAGTCCCTACCCCCCACACGTCGTCTTCAACAGCTCTCTTCCCCTTCCGAGCGCCATCGCCATTCGAAAACCAAGACCCCCCTCCTCCCCATCAAAACCCAGCCACAATCACCCGGTTCCACCCCCCGATCCAGCCCTCCTCGCCGCGATCCACTCTCCCGGGCGTCTTCTCCTCGCTCCCACGATCCCGCCGGTGGATCGGGCCGCCGTGATTGGTGCCGGTTCGAGGCGCCGTGATTGGTGCCGGTTCGAGGCGATGATGGCCGCGGCGGTCGAGGAGGAGGAGATGGTGGAGAGGATGCACGGGTGGGCGAGGGACATGGACGTGGCGTCACGCAGGGCCGAGGAGGAAGGTGGGTTCTCTCTCTCGGGCGGCATTTCGTAGAACACTCTGGGTGTGTGTGTGGGTGGGTGATTTCTTGATTTGTTTGCTCTGCTGTTCTTGGTTGACCCGTTTCGGGTTTCAGCTTCATTTTTTGGGTTTTTTATGGTTTAGATGGTTGATCGAACTGGGGAGAATCTCGTATTGGGGGCTCTGATGGTTTTGATTTTGACGTTTCAACTTTTTTTTGGTCAGATTCAGTTTAGTATCGATTCGGCTTTTTCAAATTTTGTTGGTGCGATTCGGGTTGATGATTTAGTTGGGTGGTGGTGATTAAAGGTTTCATTTAATAGCCTCGCTTGAAATTGAGCTAGTGTTGAGCTCACAGTTGTGTCGGTTTCACGAGATCTTTGTGTGGGGAGAAGGGTTTATGCTTTATGCCTTTCTTGGTTCAGACTAAGAAGTGGTAGCTGTACCATACTGGTATACCTTGATGTGTCCAGATAATAGTAGCACTATGAAAATTAGTATACATTGATGTGTCCAGATTATAATGCCACTGAAAATTATGTAGTGATGTAATGAATTATGAATCGTGTTATCATAATTTTGTGGTAAGCAAAAATGTTGGGCATGTTTAGGACACTTCTTAGCAGAGATTTTTAGCAGTATTTACAGTACATCTAGTCAGTGTGAGATGATGGTTTACTGGGTTGACAATTGCAGCAATGAGACGGTATGATGCGGCAAGTTGGTTGCGAAGCACGGTTGGGGTAGTGTGTGCAAGAGACCTGCCAGATGAACCGTCTGAGGAGGAATTCCGGCTTGGGCTGAGAAATGGGATTGTTCTTTGCAATGCACTGAATAAGATCCAGCCTGGTGCCATACCTAAGGTTGCATTTTTCGCATTCAAATTTTATAGATTATTCAGAAGCCACAAATGCTAATATGTGATGACATTTCTCTTGGCAATCTTAAAATGTTTCCAGGTTGTACAAGCCCAGTCAGATGCTGCTGGCCCCACGGATGGCTCAGCTCTGTGTGCATATCAGTACTTTGAGAATCTGCGGAACTTCCTTGTTGTTGTAGAAGATTTAAGGCTTCCTACATTTGAGGTGTCCGATTTAGAAAAGGTAACTCTGTCATGCTGATTTGGAGAGTTCATGTCACAAGCCACTTTTTCATCCTAGAGGTTCAATTTTCTTTAGACAGGCTTCCCGGCTTACCTCATCATTTGCAATACTGCCTTTGGTCACAAATATTTGTTGTTTAGAACAAGTGTCTGGTCAAACTTTTTAAATCAATTTCTTAAATATTTAGATTGGACACAATTAAATTATACAGATTTTTTCTCAAAAAGTAATTTCATAACATTTTAATTTTAATGGGTTTTAAAGATATTTGACAATACAAATTAGTGGTAAAATTTACATTTGGAAGATTACGTCGCTGTCCAAAATGACATGTATCTATGACTAGAGGGAGAAATCTTGAAATGAATGTTGCATCACTAATATATGAGTCACTTGAGAAACTGATGTATTTTATCTGCCAATTCGAATGTAGGGTGGCAAAGGTGTTCGGGTTGTGGATTGTGTTCTTGCTTTGAAGTCATTCAGTGAAAGTAATAAAACAGGGAGACAAGCTTCGTGTAAATATGGCGGCCTTTCAAAACCTTTGACAGCCAGAAAGTATTTTATACTCAAGAATACTGATGCTTTTATGAATAAGATAATGAAAGGGCACTCAGCAGAGGCAATCCAGAGTGAATTTTCAGAGGGGCAAAGCATAGTTACTGATTTTTCTATAGAGTCTAATGAGATGGTAAGAACTATAATTTGGTATGGTTTTTTTGGGCACAATCATGCTTATACTTCTTAATGACCTTTACCTTCTTGTTTGCAGACTACTTCAGACTCCCTTAGCATTCTTTTGCGTAAAGTTCTCTTAGATAAGAAACCAGAGGAAGTCCCATTGGTAAGCCTATTTTGCTTGAAGCATAATTGATTATTATGTGTTGTGATTGATGAACATTGAGAATATAACAAAATACTCTCTAATTTGGTCAGATTGTTGAGTCGATCCTAAGCAAAGTTATTCAGGAATATGAGCATCGAATTGCAATCCAGAACAAGGTGTGTTCCGTTCCACTATAATTATGATAATGTTTCTTTTTTTGCTATTTAGAAAATCAGGTTTCTCCAAATTACTTGGGTTCCGAAGTTAGTAATAAGACTTGATGGTTTGGTGTTTTTGTTGACCTTTATGGTTAGGACATACAAACTTTAATTTGGGTAAGAAAAACATCTCAGGTTAAATTCATAGGAGATTGTGTAGGTTCTGTGTCATGTTCCAGATTATATACACCATCAGAAGCTGAAAATGCTTCTAGTTGTGACCAGATGAGGGTATATTATTTATTTGAGTAAATTTCACATCATTTATTCTAAATCTGTGGTTGCTACACTCTACTCAATTTTTTGGTACTTTAATAACTGATGTTTGTTATGGTGTATATGAAGATGGATGAGGAGGAGCAAAATCTCTTGAATATCACGGAACAGGTCAACCATGTAGTTGTAAATGGTGATGGTGAAGTTAAACAGTTCCAACTAGAGGCACAGACAAATTTTGATGTGCAACAAAAACAGATCCAGGTATTACTTTTGTGTTCCCTATTCTTTGTTTGATCTTTTATAACCTGGATTCCCATGAATATTATTTCTAACAGTTTATACTACCATAGGAATTGAAGGGTGCTCTTTCTTTTGTCAAGTCTGGCATGGAACAACTGAGATTACAGTACTCTGAAGAATTTGCTAAACTTGGTAATATACAGTTCTATTTGCGTTCATCTTTTTTGTCATCACAGAAGTATTTAATATATCCATTTTTTTACCATGTTGTAAAAGGGAAACATTTCTACACTCTCTCCAATGCGGCTTCCAGCTACCATAAAGTTCTTGAGGAAAACCGCAAATTATACAACCAAATACAGGACCTTAAAGGTATAATTTTGAATGTTGAAGGAACAGATGCCTGTTATCTATGGTATTTTATAAATTTGAATTTCTTTTCTTTTTTTTGAAACTCAATTTGAATTTCTTTTCTCGCTAGGAAATATTAGAGTATACTGTCGAGTGAGGCCTTTCCTACCTGGACATAGAAGTTTATCAAGCAGTGTTGCTGACACGGAAGAAAGAACAATCACAATAATCACTCCCACAAAATATGGGAAAGATGGGTGCAAATCATTCAGTTTTAACAGGGTCTTTGGTCCAGCATCTACTCAAGGTTAAACTTATAAGTTGCTCTGGATTTCCCTTTTTTTTCTCAAACTGCTTTGATTTGTATGGACCACTGAACTTTGCTTCTTTTTTTTTTTTGTTAATGCAGAAGAGGTCTTTTCAGACATGCAGCCTTTGATCCGTTCAGTCCTTGATGGTTTCAATGTCTGCATATTTGCATATGGCCAAACTGGATCAGGAAAGACTTTTACCATGGTAATGAACTGTACTAAAAAAATATTATTTCCATATGTCTTGATAACCTTTTCAAAATTGTTCAAACCACTTTATGAATTTTGTGCAGAGTGGACCGAAAGTTTTGACAGAGGAAAGCCTCGGTGTTAACTATAGAGCACTAAATGACTTATTTAATATTAAAGCACAGAGAAAGGGGACAATCGATTATGAAATTTCTGTGCAGATGATTGAGATCTACAATGAGCAAGTGAGGGATCTCCTTCAGGATGGTGGAAACAGGAGATATCCTTTTCCATTGAATTGTGTTTTTCTTTACCAGTAAAACGTCTTCTTTTTTTCTGTTGTTCTCTTTTTTATCTTAGTTACTATGAAGCATATCTTGTATCTCCTTAACATTAATCTACATTAGAAATAAGAAATACTCCACAGAAAGGGCTTGCTGTTCCGGATGCAAGCATAGTTCCTGTCACATCTACGGCCGATGTTGTTGAATTGATGAATCAAGGCCAGAAGAATCGTGCAGTGGGTTCAACAGCCATCAACGATCGAAGTAGCCGCTCTCATAGGTATGCAATTGTTTCATACTGAGAACGTCCAGAAAACTTCATATTTGAGCTCTGTACTTATGGCTGAGGAATCTACATGCAGCTGCTTGTCTGTTCATGTCCAAGGAAAATATTTAACATCTGGGGCAATGTTGAGAGGTTGCATGCATCTTGTGGATCTAGCTGGTAGTGAAAGAGTTGATAAGTCTGAGGTTGTAGGAGACAGGCTGAAGGAAGCACAGTACATAAACAAGTCACTTTCAGCATTAGGAGATGTGATTGCATCTCTTGCACAGAAAAATTCGCATGTCCCTTACCGAAACAGCAAGCTTACCCAGCTTTTGCAAGATTCTCTAGGTACTATCTGAAGTTAATATGCTAACTTTTCACTCAATTACTACATATATTCATAGGGTAACTATTTTATTCCAATGTCAGGAGGACAAGCAAAAACGCTGATGTTTGTTCACGTAAGCCCGGAACTAGATGCTGTCGGTGAGACAATAAGCACATTGAAATTTGCTGAAAGGGTTGCTTCAGTTGAGCTTGGTGCAGCAAAAGCAAACAAAGAAGGCAGTGAGGTTAGAGAGCTCAAAGAACAGGTGTTCACTTAACTCCTGATTGCTCATTTATATAAACTATCTAGATGTGGTACTTCTGTTTAGATTTATATAATCATCGTTTTTCTCTGCTCTTGTTTCAGATTGCTACCCTCAAGGCGGCATTGGCTAAAAAGGAAGGAGAACCAGAAAACATTCAAAGCACACAGTCAAGCCCTGACATGTATAGAATTAAAAGAGGCAATGCAATACCTGCCTTCCCTAAAAATAGACAGCCAATGGAAGAAGTTGGAAACTTAGAGGTATTAACTGCTCTTTCACACAAGATCAACTCTTTTTCTTGGAAATCACAAAAATATTTCCTTTTCACATTGAAGTTTTTTTGTGAGTGCTAGTTATGATTCCAATCAATGTCAAATAGGAAAATAACCTACCAAACATTCTAAATGGAGATGGGCTATTTATGCATTTGTACATAAGTTTAGAGTCATTTTGTCAATAATCTGAACAACTCTAAAACTGACCAAAGGGTAGTTCATGGTCTTATTGAGAGTACTTATGTTTACCTTCAGTAGATTTATGCATTTGTACATCAAGTTCAGAATCATTTTGTGAATGATCTGGACAACACTAAAACTGACGAAAGCGTAGTTCATGGTCTTGTTGAGAGTACTTATGTTACCTTCAGTAGATTATTATTCCTTTTAATCTTTTCACAAGAAAGGTAATGATGTTCATTTAATGAATATTATATTTCTTTATGTAAAAGGTCCGGAACAATGCCACTCCAATGCAAAAGAAGGCCAGCTTTCAATTTTCTGGTGTCCTCAGTGAGAACAACTCATCCGACTTGGCTGAAAATTGCAATGGCATTCAGAAGACCGATAGAATGGCTGTCGGTAATAATCAATTTGAGAATGGAAATTCCATTCTAGAGCTGGAGCCTGGCGCAACTCAGCTTCCAACATTTTTCTACCAAAGATATGATCCCGACAAGCAAAGGCGTAGGGCTGAACCAGTAGAAACTGATGACTCAGATAGCTTTGATGCTGCTACTAGCTCGCCTTCCGACCAAGAAATGTTGTTGTCCACCAGTGGCCTCAAAGCTGATGGTATTGCCAGCAGAGGTGCCTTTATTATAAAGAAACCTCAAACAAAGAATACGAAAATTACAGCAACGAAGTAAGTCCAATTTAAATCCTGTATTTTCCATGAAAATTGTGTGCATTGGATTGCTTTAACCTGTTGTGCTGCTTTGAATTTACTCAGGATTCCAAATCTTGCAATGAAGTCGCCAATGTCAGAGAAAAGGCTGCAAACCCCAATCAGGAACAGCAAGCAGCTACCTTTCAGCACTACGGGTGGAAGAAGAACTCGAAATGGCAAAATTAACACTCCAAAATAATCGACTAGTGCGAAGGTGGATCCCACTATGCCAAGGTGAGATCAATAGGAAACTGAAAGAAGGATGTTTCTAAAACCCTGTATAAGGATCAGTGGATTGTTCAGTCTGATGGAAAAATTGGTTTTGAGACATCAAAGATAGAGATAAACAGATAAGACCTCCAACAGGACAGAGAAATTGTAAACCCAGAAGGAATTTTTCAAATTTGAGATCAGTACATAGCTCACACGCAGAAGTTACGGTTGTATTGTATGTACATTAGCCTGGAATAGATGCCCGCCATGTGCCATTACAACAAAGAGAAGTTCAATGACAAGTTTGTACGCTTCATCATGTTAAATTGTCAAATTTAGGCCAATTACAATTTTTTTACCATTGCATCATAGATGTGAACTTTCTTAAAAGGAAATTTCTCTCAAGGATCATTAGGTGCAAAAAAGGAATACATTACATGGTCTTTTTGTTTACATGGTTCTAAATTCAGAGATAACAAAGAGGTCAGAATCCTCTGCTGGGAAATACTAACACTAAATGAAGTACAAGCAGGCTCTACTATGTACAGATTACATACACCTAACTTTTTGACAAAATCATTAGTTTCAGTTGACCAGATGTCTCTAGAACTTCTGCATCAACACCAAGATCGATCTTTAATCTAAATTTTTTACAACCTGTTTTCACCAGGCTCATACTATTGGGACAAGCCTTGGCCTTGCTGGGGGGCGATGCGAAGCCTTTCTCGAGGCTCTGGAGAGCCTACCCACAGATGCCAGCTTCAGCGCTGCCCTGATCTTGACCCACTTGCGTGGGGACAATGGCACCGCAACTCTTTCGTTGCTAGAAAACTGAGAAATGAAATTCTGTATGAGCTGATCACATGAGCTGGAGTCAAAGCTGTTTGTTCTTGATGGCTGGAATGGAGCGGCAATTTGCTGTGAGGTTTGGTCATTGCTTGATAGGTTGAGCAGGTTACTGAAATTCTCGCCTGCAGATGCCATCCTTAGTAATTAGCATCAAGATGAATGAATCAGATGTAGCCAAAAAAAAATCAGCATAGAGTAATTACTGTTGCTTGGAGGCACTAAGTGAGGTTGCATCAAAGCCACAACTTCATCTGTATGGAGGAAATTATCTGGAGAAAAGCGCTGTCAACACAAATACAGAATGGATTAGTTCTGTTGAATGAAGAGCACAAGTAATGTCAAATTTTTACTCTTCGATTTCTATCTAGACAAAATACATAGATTTTTACATAAAAAAAGGTTCTTACCTTGTATGATTCTTCAGGTGAATGAGATCGCTCATTATGTGCATACTGGCCAATTCGTGTGGCAGCATGATCAGCCTGGATGCTGCTATGAGCGTTTGGATTAAAATATGTTTTTTCGGTATTAGGTATACACAGAGGAGTGATTCTTGGTCTGGGTATGAATGTTCCTTGATTTGAATGATGTGGGATAAAATTGCCCATGCCCAACTGTTGGCTAAACTGCACGTTGGAGGTTTGACCCTGCACAAATCTTGACATATCCACTGAAGCCTGCTAGAAAATTGATGAAACTATCTTAGACTAACATGCATATGTATTTTATTATGTACTGTATTTTGTATATTTCAAAATATCTTCCTTACATTAGAGGCTTCTTGGAATGAAGAAAAGTTCTCCGTTGATTCAAATGGTTGACCAGCCAGGGCTGAATTGTATTGACCTGTAAACAATTGGAATAGATGACCAAAAATCCCCAAAAAAGTAATTATCGCTAGTGATTGAAATTCTCAGAACAAGATATTACCACAAGTTGGGATCTGCTGTTTAGGAATAAAGTCAGTCAACATAGAAGTTCCCCCACAATGGAACCTATGAAGCGGTACAGGATAGTTGTTGACCATCTTATGGTCATACTGAATACCACTTATATTCGCATAAGCCAATTGCTTCATTGTTTCAACTGCACTCTGTGAACAAAAAACACCAAATTATTAGGAAAATAGTGAGAAAATCTCCTGTTGAAGGAAGTGAGGAAACAGTACCTGCTCTATTTCGTCGAGCTCATTTATGGGCTTGTAAGAATCACCAAACTTCACCCCAACAAGCTGATATATTGCATCGAAGAAAAGTCCCACGTTGTTGCCCTTCACTTCATACAAGCAAAGATCGTCACCGACTTCACATGTCATGGCATGGCTTATGATGGTTTTCCAAGCTGCCTGTGACATCTTGCTAAAAGTCTATAGACAAATATCAAAGATCTTCTGTCAGTCACTTTTTTTAGGGAATTCGGTGAGTCTATTTTTTTCTCTTTTGAAACCAACGGCTCATCTATATTATCAGGTCCTTGTGTTATGGAAACATCATCTGAAATTTAATATTTAAGGAAATTCATAGAACCTCTACCTGAAAAAGCTTCTTTTCGTCCGTAAAATATGATTGTAAGAACTTCTGTACAGTATCAACTCCACTGTTTGTCAAGGCCTGGTGGTGAGCTCCATTGCGGCCGATCTTTTCCAAACGCCAAACTTCGTCATCCAACATTGGCGGGTAGTGCTTTTCAAATCCTGCAAAAATAGTAAGTTGCATATTATTAGTCTCAGCTATAAGGTCCAAAAGACATTTCTGAAGAAACAAACAATCTGAATCTTAGGGACAATGGCATACCCTCCACCCTACGCTCCTTTACACGAAAAGGTTCAGTGATTCCTTCAAGAACCCTATCTTCAGAATTGTTGGCTAGCCTCAAACCCAGCCTGAACTTCTTAGTGCTAGTGAAGCTAGAGTTATCAGTGAAGGTTGCATTCTCAAGTAATGCTTCCCCTCCATTGAGCTTCAGTGTCAGATTTCCGGTGAGAAGTTGTGCGCTTTTCTCTCGCCCGCATACTATCTGCTTGCTGAAGTCTTCAGGGGTCCATTGTTCCTCATTTTTAGCATTAAAGTTGCCGTGGAGGACTACAACTTCAACCTTAGCAGAAGCAAGATGACCGAACCTGACGATGCGCATCTGATTGTTTTCGAGTCTTTCGACTATAGCCACCTTAAGACCCGGTCCATCCTTGGCTTCTAATTTCATCAGTGTGTAAACAGGCTTTAGTTCATTCAGGAACACGAGTTGATACCTTGGACGCTGCTGATTCAATCCTGCTAGCAGTCTGCAGATGAAAGAACCAAATTAAGTATGTTAGAGCAGAAAGAAACTAAACATCAAATTTTTTTTATTACATGTGAAATTTAGTAATCATAATAAATGAAAGCTAGTATATGTCTCAAGCCTCACCTTGGAGGCGCTGGTGTGCTGACTTGTCTGAAAATTGCTTTCTCTACTTCTTCTGAAACCTGAAAAAAGCACAAATTTCAGGTCAGCGGACAGGGAGCACTTCTAAATTCTAATATCCAAGTTGAAATCAACAACAATGTCCGCATGTCTCTTCTTTTATTGGGATGAACTTATCAATCTAACATATCTTTGCTCTGAATGTTGCACAAAATCGATAATATATCTCAAAATTGGTAGATGCATGTGTAAATTCACAATTGGGTAAAAAACTTCAAAAAATATGGCTTTTTTTACCACTCCCTGAAGGAAAGGTAATAAATACTAGTAGGTTGGATGAAAATCATTACCACTTTCTGAACCATCTTGCCAAAGAAGGGGAGGAACATGCCCATGAACTCCTCCCCCATCATCTCCCTGAACCCGAACACCCCCTCCATGCTCCTCTTCCTCCTCACCCCGAGCCCCCTGCAACCAACCAAAGAACAAAAAAAACACAAATTCATGAGCAACCAAACCATCTCTGAACCCAACCAAGAACGCAGGGTTGACTCGGCCGTTGACTCACAGGACAAGCGCCCGCCACCGCCTGCGAGGGCGGGACAGCTCGCCGCCGGCGCCGGCGCCGTCGTCGTCGTCGGAGGAGGACCAGGAGAGGAGACTCGTGGAAGGAGCCATCGGTGGAGGAAACAATGGAGGAGAGGCATGGTTGCGGGGTGATATAGAGGAGAAGAGAATGGGAGGGAAAGCTCCTGGAACGAGCTGGGAATGTTCGCTTGAGCTCACATTTTGTTACTGTGTTCGCGAGCGAGTGCACAAGTGGAGTGTTTTTGAGTAATCCATGACGTGTTTTGAGTAATCTATGACTCTGTTGGCTCGTAATTGTCGATTGGTTTTGGGTTTGATCCCTTCTTTTGTGGCAATGGGTTTTTGCACTTTTTTTTCTTTTTCAGTTTGAGATGTTAAAAGTACACTTTAGATAGCATAAACTTTTATTTTGCATATTTGTGCTCATTTAAAAGAAGACAGTTGTGGTGGACTCCGCCTACTCTTATTACAGTAAGTTTTTACAAATTACCCCTTGAACTCCTTAATATTAAAAGGATCCAATCTAAATGGATAGCCACATAAAATTAGATTAAGATGAATATTTCGTTTAGAAAAAGATGGGTAACACATTAATACATTTTCTTTAATCCATAGCAAAGCACCGTCATTTAGCTAGTATATATATATACACGCACAGATACTCATTCACTACGATAGGTTAGATACTCATTCACTACGATAGGTTGTTTATGAATGTTACTCTATCCGTTTTTAAATATATATGGTGTTGACTTTTATTGTGGTAGCATTTGATTATTCACAATGTGAAAACATTTAGTGCATGATAAAAGTCGTATTCAAAGTACATTTAACAATAATAAAATATAAGTGACAATAAAATGAAGAAATTATACTTTTATGTTTCTCTTAATAAAACAAATGGTCAAAGCCATATCTAAAAGCAAACGGCATCATATATTTAAAAACATAAGCAATATATATATATCATTTTTAAGAATAAAAACTTTATATTATTGGCGTCTAACAGACCATATATCGCTAGTAGAAATGCTTCTCGAAATCTTTAGCTCACTAAATAAACCAGTGTTGATGTCTATAATTTCTCCCTCTATAAAAAAAATGAAATTCTAAGAACGAATCTGGATAAACACATTTGTACATTCGTTTTTATAAGTTGAATTTTTTTCTTTTACGGAGGGTGTACTCTTTATAATACCACCACTTACCAGCAACTACTTCGCTTAAAAGCTTGAGGTGTTTTGCAGAAGAATGGTTCGAATTTCAAAACTTTTGCTCTTGTCCGTTCTATTGATGCATGTCCACTTCATCTAGGCTGCAGTCTACAAAAAAGGAAGAAGAGGCGAAGCTGCAGCCTGCAGAAAATGGAGAGAACGATTTACGTCGACTGACGACTACGACAGCGGTGATGATCTGGCCGGCCTTGTGATTGACTTTGGATTTTGGATTACTGTATGTGTCGTCTCGTGGGCTTGATTTGTTCCTCGTTTAGTCCCCTAATTTGAAGTTGAAGTTGACAAATCGCGTTCACAGCGCTCAAACCAACCATGCACGTACGCAAGCAAGTGTTCATATGCAACTGCACTTATGTCGTCAAACTTTTAGATTATATTGCACTTTTAGATTAACTGCACTGTGCTATATGGTTTTCTTTTTTTTAGATTATCTTGTAATTCCTCCGTTTCACAATGTAAGACTTTCTAGCATTATCCACATTTATATAGATGTTAATGAATCTATATATATAATAATGTCTAGATTCATTAGCATCTATATGAATGTAGGCAATGTTAGAAAGTCTTACATTATGAAACGGAGAGAGTAGTTGTATGAGAGACATGATGTATGTTTTGGCGAAATTTTGATAAATGTTATCCTTTTAGAAAATTTATTTGAAGGGTAAACCGTGCCAGAAATTATTTTAAAAATAAACCATACCTCAGCACCATCGGGATTAGCGATGAGGTCCAACGGCATAGTGCTAACGATCATGGCGCTAAGCGCTGCCACCTTGGCAGGGCCGTATGCAAGGTTGGATAGGATCATTTCATATTATGAAAAGATATAGCGCAAGATATAAATCACATTTAAAGTACCTTTAACAATTATTAAAAATTCAAGTAACAATAAAATAAATAAGTGATAGTTATATTTTTTAATATGGCAAAGGGTCAAAGTCATATCTGAAAATTAATAATATCGTATATTTAAAAGCAGAAGTAGTGTATATCTATCTTAAAAAAAAACTTGATGCTAATGGTGCCTAAGAAAGCACATAAATATCCGTCGTAGAAATGCTTCTCAAAATCTGTAGCTTCTCAAATAAAACCAATATTGATGTCCAAAACTGCATTTTATAATAATCTCTACATGCCAACCAAATAATTCACTTAAAAAGGTTGAGATGTTTTACTCTAGACTAGTTAGAATTTCGAAAGTTCTGCACTTGTCCGTTCTATTGATGCATATCCACTTCACCTTAGGATGCAGAGCATAGGAAGAAGAGGCGAAGCTGCAGCCTGCAGAAAGTGCAGAGAACGATTTATACGTCGACTACCGACGACGACGACGGTGACTACGTCCTTGCCGGCTTATGATTTGACTTTGGATTTTGGATTAGTGTCTTGTCGTCGGCTTGATTTGTTCCTCGTTTTAATTAGTCCCTTAATTTGAAGTTGAAGTTGATAAAATCGAATTCACAGCGCGCATAGCAATAACCACGTTTATACTGAAGAAAGTGTTCATATGTATGTGCAATTCTGTCGTCAAACTTTTAATCTTTTAGATCATCTTGTACTTGTCTTGAATAGTTAGTTGTATGAGAGAATTGGGAGAGATGATGTGTTTTGGTGCGCTCTCGTACTAGCATTTTGATAGTGGTAGAAACAATTAATTCCATTTTTAGGCCTTTTTCCAAATTAAGACTTTATATAGCTTCGGATTTGTCTCCTCTCATGATCCGGACAGTTTCCTATGAGCAAGTTAGGCTTGGATTATCGTAATTTCAAGTTCTCAAGTACCCTAAATGAGTGTTCCAATATTAGTGCAACACTAGTTGAAGTGTCACTTCTTCATTTTATAGAGCATTTTCATCTCTTTTCTTTTCTTTTCTTTTTATTTCTTTTTTTTTTTTGGAAAAGCTCTTAGCTCTGAGATCAATTACTCATCATATGTAATATACTCATGGTGGGAATTTTCCCGGAAGAATCTAAGTGTAAGTATTATTTTATCGGTGAAGGGGGATCCATCTTATTATATATCTATTCGGAGTTTTCATGGAAGATTCTGTTAACTGTAAACTGTCATGGAGGTGAGCAGGGCAGTTGATGAGATCTCTGTCGCCTGCTGATTGGCTGTGTTTAGATCCAAAGTTTGGATGCAAACTTCAGTACTTTTCCATCACATCAACCTGTCATACACACACAACTTTTCAGTCACATCATCTCCAATTCCAACCAAAATCTAAACTTTGGATCCAACTAAACACAGCCTGAGTGAGGCCAGTTGTTCGGCAGAAACCTCTGAACTTTCCTGAATGGTTCTTCACTTCACAAGCATACTAGTTGTAGTTCTTATAACAGCTTAAAAGTCAACGTCATGTATTCTATGCCTTTGTTGGAAAAAAAGTTAATTATTAGCGTATGATTAAGAAAATTAGTCATTCACCAATGATTAATTAATTATTAATTATTTAAAATTAAAAAATAAATTAATATAGTTTTCTAAAGGAACTTCTCTAAAGAAAATTTTTTTTAAAAGAAACATATCGTTTAGCAGTTCGAGAAACATGTGCGCGGAAAACAAGGAAGTTTTCTTCCCTTTCTCGGAACGAACACAGTCTGTGTTCGGCATAAGCTGGTCGAGAGGAAAGGTACCCCAGTTTTTGCATACTTCCCGAATGGTTTAATTGTGTGTTTTTAAAAAAAATTATATATGAAAGTTTCTTTAAAAATCATATTACTCTATTTTTTAAATTTAAAATAATTAATACTCAATTAATCGTATGCTAATGGTTCACCTTATTTTGTGTATCTTCTCAATCAGCTTCTCTCAAACATTTGCTTAAGAAAGTGGGGAATGACAACTCGCAGTTGCCTCAAATATGACACCGCTCTAGTACATCAATGAACTCTCGAAGTTATATATAAATAACATTTTCAATATACGATGAGTTGTATGTGAATGGATTAGAAAACTGGGGTGGTTCAAAGTGACACAAAAGATAAAAGATATGTTTACCTAGTCCAAAGTGAAAAATGTTAGGTAAAGGATGGTTCAAACGGAAAAATTTTCTGTTTATAAATATAAATGTGTGTGTTTTTATTTGGTGCAGAGTCTAAAACGTTGTACTTCAATCGTTAAAATAAAAGATAAATGAGTCGTACCGTGAAGCCATTAGCTGTAACCCTACGCCAACTAGTCAACCCTAGTGGTCTTTAGGGGGAAAAAAAATCGAAGATCCATAAAAAAGTTGGATCTTGGCATTTTGCTTCGTACTCCTACTACTGTTGTTTCACCGTGAAGTATAGTTGGCCATAACGCCCGAGGCCCAACGGCCCGGCCCAAGGCAGGGGATTTTGGCCTGGCCCAGGCACGGCACGGCCTGATCGTTGTCGGGCCCATGCCGGCACGGTTCGGGTGTTGGGCTGTGCCTGGACCTATGCCTCGGCACGGTGGGCCGGCCCGGCACGGCACGAACTTTAGCGAGGTGAAATAGACTTATTTTCAACCATATAGACGTATAGACGTATTATATGGCACGACTAGAGAGTAGGGACGTAAAATAGACTTATTTAGTTTTTTATATGTCACAACCCAAAGAGTATGGAGGGGAAATAGACTTATTTCAAAGAAAACATGATGGGCTGCATGTGCCTTCGGGCCGGCCCAGCATGGCCCGACCCTTATTGGGCCATGCCTGGGCCACAGTGGAGCACGTGGGCCGACGTGGCATGGCCCGGCGTATTGGTCGGGTTGTGCCGGCCCAACAAATCTTGGCCCGAGCATGATCGGGCCTGGACCATGCCATGCCGGGCAGCCCATATGGCCAACTATACCGTGAAGCATATGAGGAGAGAAAAAGTCATGTATATACCGGAGTAGTTTGGAAAGTAGAGTGCAAACACTTCTCCACTATTATAAAAATTGAAGATGTTTTTGCCAGGACCTTGGTAAGTCGTCCGAATCCGTATGTGC